ATTTTGGACCTTCTTAAGGAGACCGGTATGCTTGGATGCAAACCAGTTGATACTCCTATGGACAGTCAAAAGAAACTTGGCACCGAGAAAGAAAGTGCTCCAGTAGACAGGGGGAGATATCAGCGTCTTGTTGGACGCTTGATCTATCTGTCACACACTCGGCCAGATATTGGTTTTGCAGTAAGTGTTGTAAGTCAATTCATGCACAGCCCTACAGAGGAACACATGGAAGCAGTCTACAGAGTTCTTAGATACTTAAAAATGACCCCAGGGAAAGGCCTATTCTTCATAAAGACAGAAAACCGTAACACTGAAGTGTATTCAGATGCAGATTGGGCAGGAAACCTCATTGATAGACGGTCAACGTCTGGGTATTGGTCCTTTGTCTGGGGCAATCTTGTTACCTGGAGGAGCAAGAAGCAATCAGTGGTAGCCAGAAGTAGTGCAGAAGCTGAGTACAGAGCACTAGCACAGGGAATTTGTGAAGGGATTTGGATAAAAAGGGTTCTAAGTGAACTGGGACAAATGAGTTCATTTCCTATTCTGATGATGTGTGATAATCAGGCAGCTATAAGCATAGCCAAGAATCCCGTGCATCATGACAGGACTAAGCACGTTGAGATTGACAGACATTTCATCACAGAGAAGGAGACTAGTGAGACAGTTAAATTGACCTACATCCCTCCCAAGCAACAAACGGCAGACATCCTCACCAAAGCTCTACCAAGACCTAACTTTGAAGACTTAATTTGCAAGCTGGGGTTATATGATATATATTCTCCAGCTTGAGGGGGAGTGTTGAATTCGGAAGTCAAAAGTTAGGGAAGTTAGTTTAGGAAAGTATTTTAGGAATAAAAGGAGAGATCGGTTGTGATCTTTTCTCATAATTTTGTTTCCTGTTTTTTAGGAGAGAATCAAGCTAGTTAGTTTTTCCCTTATTAGTCATTTGTGTATATATATGCTAGTGTAGGGTTACAGAAGATAAATAATAGAAGTTCAGAAATTCTTCACTAAGCTTTCAGTTTCAGGTATGATTTTTGACTTGTTCATCATGACGTTTCTTCGTGCCTTTTCTCTCCTTACTTCCGAGAAGACCTCTCGTATGTTTGGCAGTGGTTTTCGACTTAGAATTCTTCCTCGTACTCCATCTAATTCACGGTTAAGTCCTGCAAGAAACATGTACACTCGTTCATCTTCCTCTCTCTTCAAGTATCGCACACTGTCTTTAGAACTTTCCCATTCGTCCTCATAACATTGATCCAATTCCTACCAAAGTGTCACCTTTTTGCTATAGTATGTTGTCACCTCTTTATCTCCCTGCTTCAAGTTCCATAGCCGAGTCTTTAGTTTGAAGATTAGGGAGGGGTTTTCTAAATCTGAATATGTGTCACGGACGGCTTTCCATAACTCCTTGACAGTGGGAATAAATAAGAATGGTTTCCCTATTGCCGGCTTCATAGAATTGATAAGCCAGGCTGTAATCATGGAGTTTTCAGATCTCCATGCTTTGAGTTTGGAATCATCATCTGCTGGTTTCTTCACCTCACCAGTCAAGTGTCCTAGTTTCCCTTTTCCATCTATAACAAGTTAAACCGTTTGTGCCCATTTGAGGTAGGTCTTTCCATTCAACTTGTGAGTCGTTAGTTGTAGGGAATTTTGAACTGCTACAGCACTCTCGGTAACTTCTCCGGTCAATAAGAAGCCTTTAACTGCCCCGGCCATAGCTGTCTTAACCATTGGCATTTCTAGATCAGTCATGGCTCTGATACCATGTAAGTTTTGAAGGGAAAAACTCTTCTATTATTATTGATTTAATTGGCAAAAAATAAGTATAAATAGCCCTAGGAGTGTCACGGATAAAATCTTATCCACTCAATAACATCTATCCTAATAACATTCAAATTCAAACTTATCTAATCCTAGGATAATGAATCTGTTTGAAACAAATTTTTTTTATTTGACTTTAAGCATATCCTAGGTTCTCTTAGATACTTTCTGTTGCAGGTAATCTAGATTGGTCTCTTCATCGGCTAGATGTCAAGAATGTCTTTCTTAATGGAGACTTAGAAGAAGAAGTATACATGGAGGCTCCCCCAGGGTTTAGTGACAGCTTCAAGAAGAAGATTTGCATATTGAAGAAGTCCTTATATGGACTTAAACAATCTCCGAGGGCCTAGTTCGACAGATTTGAAAGATTTGTAAAGTCTTAAGGGTTCTTACAGGGGCAGTCAGATCACACTCTGTTCATAAAGATTTTTGCAGAAAGTAGAATTGTTGTCTTGATTGTGTATGTGGACAATATCATTCTCACTGGTGATGACACTGAGGAAATTGACAAATTGAAGAAAAATCTCTCAACCGAATTTGAGATTAAAGATCTAGGTTCTCTTAGATACTTTCTTGGAATGGAAATTGCTAGATCAAAAAAGGGCATAGTAATTTCTTAAAGGAAGTATATTCTAGATGCAAGCCTTTAGATACTCATATGGAGCCTAACTCAAAACTTGGAGAGATTAGGGAAGGAGTTCCGGTTGATACAGGCCGATATCAATGTCTAGTGGGAAAGTTGATCTATTTATCCTACACTCGACCACATATCTCTTTTGTCGTTAGCATGGTAAGCCAGTTTATGCATGCTCCCTATGAAGAACACTTGGAAGCTATTTACAGAATTTTGAGATACTTAAAAGGAACTCCTGGAAAAGGATTATTTTTCCAGAAAAGTGATCAACGAAGAATTGAAGTCTATACTGATGCAGATTGGGTAGGTTCCGTGATTGACAGAAGATTCACTTCTGGATATTGTACTTTTCTATGGGGAAATTTGGTAACATGGAGAAGCAACAAACAAAATGTGGTAGCTAGAAGTAGTGCAAAAGCAGAATACGGGGCAATGGCTCAAGGAATTTGTGAGATACTTTGGCTGAAGAAGGTGTTGGAAGACCTCCATGAACCTGTAGAACTACCCATGAAACTATTCTGCGATAATAAGGCGGCTATCAGTATTGCTAATAACTCAATTCAACATGATCGTACAAAGCATGTGGAAATTGACAGACACTTCATAAAGGAGAAACTTGAAGATGGAGTCATTTGTGTATTATTCTTACCAACCACTCAACAAATTGCATACGCCTTCACCAAAGGGTTACAGTGACAGTCATTTGATTCATGTGTAAGCAAGTTGGGCATGATCAATATCTATGCACCAACCTTAAGGGGGAGTGTCGGTAAATTAGGAAACTATGAGTTGTGGAATAGTTGTATGGTTGTATGACCGGATATTAGGAGATAGTGAATTTGGATATTAGGAGAGGATATTTGGCTTTGTATTGTTTCCTTATTTACAGATTTTGTTTCTTTGTTTTAGGGATTAGATTAGACCTCACCAAGTCTATATAATCCCTGTACAATTTCTCTGAAACTATGAAGGAATAAAAGAATTTTTCTATCTTCCATTGCTAACATGTTATCAGAGCGGGAGGTCTTGAGTTCAAATCCCTATAATTGCATTCTTTATCTCCTTTTAAATTGTCATCATGTGTTTCATGTGTTGGGTCTTTAATATATCTCAGGTTTAAATATTCACGTGTTGGGCTTTCTAATTAATTTATCCACACAATTGACCATTGTCCAGCCCACACGTGAGGAGGAGTGTTAAAGTATAAAACTATTGTTGGCCCACCTCTTAACAGCTTAAGCTTTTGGGATGGATTGGTAAACTAATAGTTTGTAAGGCTATACTTTCTCTTTCGTTTCTCCTCTTTTGGCTCTGAGGTGGTTTTTCATGGAGTTTCCAGTAAGTCTCTTTGGTATGTCACGGTTTTTTTTTTTTGCAATGGTCACACCAGGGTTTCTTCCTCTTTTCTCCATTTGAATTACTCCTTGACACCAAAGCCGAACTTTCGATCTCAGGGCTGTTTTTAGGTTCGAAAGTCTTCAGCATCACTTTGCGCCTGGTCTCCTTTCTCCTTTAGAGAAAACTTACCTGATGGAGGGCAGTGGTTTCCTTCCTAGAATCCAGCTTCGTATTTCATCTAATTCCTGATTAAGACCTGCAAGAAATACATAAACTCGATCATTCTCCTCTCATTTCTTATGGCGAACACTGTCAGTTGGACAATCCCATTCATCTTCATAGCAAAGATCCAATTCCTTCCAAAGTGGTACAATCTCATTGTAATAAGACGTAACGTCACGGTTTCCTTATTTGGACTTCCAAAGTTTGTTTTCAATTCGAAAATTTGGGATGAATTTTCCATGTCTGAATACATGTCACGAACTGTTTCCCATACATCTTTGGTTGTGGGCAGAAATAAATGCGGCTTTCCAATGGTTGGTTCCATGGAGTTGATGAGCCACGCAATCGTCAAGGAGTTCTCTGACCTCCATGCTTTTAGGTTTGGATCCCCTGCTGCTGGTTGCTTCACTTTGCCGGTTAAATAGCCAAGTTTTCCTTTGCCGTCAATGGCCAGATTAACGGATTGAGCCCACTCTAGGTAATTGCTGCCATTCAGTTTATGGATAGTCAATTGAAGGGAAAGGCTTGATGAGAGGTGCTCTACTTTGCTGGTTGATATTGTGGATTCTGATTAGGTCCTTTCAGTGGTAGAGGATGAATCTCCATCGGAGGAGGTATTCCTTCCAGTCATCGCCGTTTTGTAATTCATAGTGAGGTTTAGGTTTTGAGCCGTGGCTCTGATACCATATCAGTTTTGGAGAGAATAATCAATCTTTATTATTCTTATTCAACGTATCAAAGAGTAGACGAACATATATAGAGTAAAGAATCCCTCTGCTACCAATAAGATTTGAAAATTAAACTATAAGATAAGATAAGATAAACTAATCCTCCTAACAGATAAGATAAACTACAAGATTTGAAAATTAATTCAAATCTTTTATTAAAAGATAATACTCCTAATAGTTATCCCTAATAAATAGGAGATAAAAGATCTATCATAATCGACAAGTTTAATGAGTTTTCTTTTCTTCAATAGGTTACTGGGATTTACAGGGCTATGAGCGTCAGAATTGGACCAACACAGAGAACTGTAAAATCATTATTCAAGGCATGTTATCTATCCCTTTTCTCTACTAAATCTGGAGCTCTGTGATCAGCCCAAGGTCATGATGTAATTTGTTTTTCATTGTAGACATACATTGATTGTCTTCTTATAAAGAAGGCCGACAAGTCAAGAATGCTTGTGGAGGATCAACTGGAAGTTGATAATTCCATAGGTGGAAGCTCGGAGGATCTTCTTTTTGATGAGAAAAGGGTAAATCTCATGTCTATCTTCTGTTATGATACAATGGATTATTTGCAGTCCGCATAATATCTATATTTGAATTGAAGGTTGAAGAATTGAAAGAGCTGTCAAAACAGCCAGATATATACGACAGATTAACGAGGTCTTTGGCACCAAACATTTGGGAGCTGGATGACGTCAAAAGGGGCCTTCTTTGTCAGGTACGTTGATGATTCAACTCACTGCCATGGTTGTCTTGATGATTAAGCGTGGTCAGTTTGTCTTAAGTCAATCTAACTAATAACAATATTATAGAAGTGGGTCAACCAAATAGCCAAATTCAAAGAAAGTAGTCCAAGATCATGTAGGTAGAAGGCTTACTAGTCGTAAATGTTGACCCTTCTCAATGCAGCTATTTGGTGGAAATGCTTTGAGGTTGCCATCTGGTGCTAGCTTCCGAGGCGATATCAACATTCTTCTTGTTGGTGATCCTGGAACCAGTAAGTCGCAGCTTCTCCAGTACATACACAAGCTATCTCCTCGTGGCATATACACCAGTGGAAGAGGGAGTTCAGCTGTTGGTTTAACTGCTTATGTTGCCAAAGATCCTGAAACTGGGGAAACTGTATGATATTCTTTCTGGATGATTCTTTATTGGTTTTTTTTTTTCCTTTCCATTCAGTTATCCTTCAGAATCATATGACTTAAGACTGTAAAGTTATTTTGATGCAGGTTTTGGAGAGTGGAGCCTTAGTTTTGAGTGACAGAGGCATCTGCTGCATTGATGAATTTGATAAAATGTCAGACAATGCAAGGAGCATGTTACATGAGGTTGGGCATTCATACTCCATATGAATGTTACCATAAGTTTTTGTACATTTTCTTCCATACAATGGCTTTCTTACTAATCATACATGTTCCCCAGGTGATGGAACAACAAACAGTTTCGATAGCAAAGGCAGGAATCATTGCTTCTCTTAATGCTAGGACTTCGGTATTAGCTTGTGCGAATCCAAGTGGTTCGCGGTATAATCCTCGCTTGTCTGTGATTGACAACATTCATCTTCCTCCTACGTTGTTGTCGAGGTAAGCAGAAGTAGATATTGTTTTTCTGTTATGGAAACTGGGATGTTACCAAGATTGTAAAGTTTAAAAAAGTACTTCAGTTAAAAATCGTCTATTACTTCTATTTATTCATGACTTTTCCTATTTGATTTAAATACGTGTTGCGTTGTTGCTTTATAGTTTAAGTTAACAAAAGAACAATCACTAATCGTACTGTGGGTGAATGCTGAAGCTGATTTCTAAAATCTCATGCTTCATTTCAAAACCTTTATTGCAGACTAGGATTACATCATAAAGCCATTTAAAGCTTTCTACACGGATTAAAATCCTCATGTTATTTGATTATTTATTTCATCAGAACTATTTAGAAGAATGAGAAAAATAAGGTGGAAAATTGTTTGAATGATTAACTTAATTTCCTAAAAAGAAAAATGGCTGCATGATGAACACCAAGAGG